CCATTTTTATGTTTTCGGAAACAGTTTTTCAGAATGGGAAAGAGAACGCATTTTCAGAAATTTCAAAACAGACACTCAAAACACAAAACACAAAACGAATTCAAAACTCAAAACACAAAATTGAAACACAAAGAGAACGGCACCTTAGCCTCTGGGAGTTGTGTGGGGGTATTGTTGGAATTTGGGAGTTTTTGATTGAATCATTTGCCATGGATCACGTTGTGGGTGGAAAATTTAAGCTTGGAAGGAAAATTGGGAGTGGTTCATTCGGTGAACTTTTTTTAGGTAATCACGTCATTTAATTCGTTGTTTGGTGCAATTGAAATAATTTTTGTCCTTAGAAAAAAAATTATTTGTTTGCTTTTACTGTTGTAGGTGTAAACATACAAAATGGAGAAGAAGTAGCCATCAAGCTGGTATGCTTGTTCATATTTTCTTCTGTTTTTAACTTTGTATAAGTTCCGGGCAATGCAATCCTTTGGATTCAATTATGTTCTCAGAACAAATTCGTTGTATGTTTTCCATATTCTTTACCAATACTATACGTTAGCAACATTTTCTTAAAGATTTGGAATTATGCTTTTTTACCTTCTGTTTTTTTACCATTCTATGAGAATATTGGATATTGTGGCAAGATAAAGAGTTTTAATCATGAGAGATCAGTATTAAAAAACCACATGGATTATCTCAGACATTTCTCTATAAGGAAAATAGCGAAGTTTGTCAACTAAGATAGTGAAGCGTCTGGTTACTAATCTATTTTGAAATCAAAATTTCATTGTAGAAACTGTATGAGTAGTTTATATGGTAGACCAATTCTGTGTTGTGATGAAATTACATTAGTACTTATGTAATTATGACTAACTGTGCCTACATGGCAAACCATTTTTTTTTTTTTTGGAGTTCATAAGGCATGGATAAATTAGCAGCTATGGAAATTCATATGTTGAATCTTAATATGTTTTTGAGCACCCAAGTTACTAATAGAACGAAGATAGTCAAGAAAATATGAGTTGATATTATATTGCAGCTGATTATATGATTCTCACCCAAATTTTTTATTGTAACTTGCGTAATTCCCAGGAATCTGTGAAGACCAAGCACCCTCAGCTTCACTATGAGTCTAAAATTTATATGCTTCTTCAAGGAGGATGTGAGTCCCTTTCTTTCTCAGATAAGGCACGAAAAAATATAATTAAATGCTGTAATTTTATTTTGTCATTCTTGTTAGTTTTTACTTTCTACATTTTTTTTTATCAATTATCATTTTGAGGATTTAAATAAAACTTCATGTAAGATGCTTATGTGGCTTTAGTGCAGTCAATTCTCCATTTAAGAGAGGAGTCTTTTCTTTTCCCACTTTTCTACTCCAGGGCTTGGTTTCTTATTATTATTTTTTATTTATTAATTTATTTATTTTTTTTGCTGGGGGGAGGGGGTGTTGGGGGTGAGGAGTTGTCTTTTGTTTTATTTCATCTTTTAGTTCCTGGCTATGTATCTCAACTGCATTTATATACTAATTAAGTGGGCTTATAACACTCCATTAAAGTACTAGTGCAATTTTGCAATACATTGTGATTTTGGCATGTTAATCTCATTGGCTGTTGCTTTCTGCTGTCAAATAGCGGGCGTTCCCAACCTGAAACGGTTTAGAGTAGAGGGGGAATATAATATTATGGTTATAGACCTTCTTGGACCAAGTCTGGAAGATCTCTTCAACTATTGTAATGGGAAGTTCTCCTTGAAAACAGTATTGATGCTTGCAGATCAATTAGTAAGTAACTAGAGTTTTTATAAGTTTTTCTTTCTATATATTGCGGTTCTAGCTGCTAATTTTTTATTGACTTTCAGATTAATAGAGTTGAATACATGCATTCAAGAGGTTTTCTTCACCGTGATATAAAGCCTGACAACTTTTTGATGGGCCTAGGGCGCAAAGCAAACCAAGTATGCCTTTCTAGAATTCTTATACTTCACACTATTGGATGAGCATGTCTACTTTGTTACTAAACCTATGTTAGACTCATGTTTATAAGCTATTAATTAGCACTCAAGCCACTTTGTACCACTTATCCACCACTCATTTTTATCTTTGATAATTTAAATTGTTTATAAATACTTCCCTAACATGCTCCAAGTATTTTGGTTCCATTTCATCAAAATATATAATTCTCAGAGATGCTTGTTACCTTGTTGCTACTTATTTGGCTTAGTTATATATTTTGTTACCTTGTTGGAGCTTATTTGGCATAGTTATGTATATTTTAGCCTTGAACACGATTGGAATCTTCTTTCTATGTCCCGTGGTATTCTTATCTTTCCGAAATTCAACATTATGGAAAACTTTTTCTCATTCCCTCCCCATACAAATCATAGAATTTATTCATAATTTGCCTTTCCTTGTCATTGTTTTATACCATATTTTGTCTAACTTCATATTTAATTCTTACTTTGGTTGACAGAAATCATTAGAAGAAGTTGTTTCCTCCACTTTTCATTTCCCTCTTCCCTTCTTTTCCTGAAATTCATTAGAATCTTAAGGGATCGTGAAACACTTTACTGACTTGCTATTGCATTCCTTGTGTTAGTTAAAAGATATAAATTTGACCATATAAAATAATGTTAGAAGGATTTAGACCCTGTTTGGTTTGGATAAAAATTAGATTTTTAGTAGATTTTGGATAAAATTTGGTGAAATATATTGTTAAAAAGTTGATAAAAGTTGTGGGTTCCATGAAATGTGTGGTTGAAAATAAGCTTGAAGGTAAATGAGTTTTAAGAAATGGGGGCCAAACAGGGGCTTAGTATTTGGTTTTGTTTATTTACTGCTATATTGTTTTATAGCTTTAAGATCAAGGTTTAAAAAGGCGAAACTAAATACTAAGACGGTTTTTCTTTATGAGGCGAGATGTAAGCATCAAGGAGGATTGAGGCATAAGCCTCACAAAAAACTAAAAATATAAGTAAAAGAATTATAAAATAATACAAAAAAAAAATCAAAGTTGGAGCAT